ATCTATCTATCTATCTATCTATCTATCTATCTATCTATCTATCTATCATCTATCTTACAGTATCTATCTATCTATCTATCTATCTATCTATCATCTATCTTACAGTGCCTATCTATCTATCTATCTATCTATCTATCTATCTATCTACCTACCTACCTACCTACCTACCTATCTATCGGATTTCAACTCCCATTAGGCTTGGCTAGCAAGAGCTCATGGGATCTGTAGTCCAAAAGCATAAAGTTTTTAAAGCTGAATTTTAAGTTTGTGATCTTTATTGTCTTAATGTCGGATATCTACTGTTGGACAATGATCAACTCACCGCAGCTCTTGCCGGACCTCGAAGACGGTCTGTCCGGAAATGATAAAGACTTCCGTCATTTCGTCTGTCAGCATCTTGCAGGAGTAGCCGATGTTGACCGCGGTCTCTGGGGAAGGGGAGGCAGTGGAGGGTCTGAAGTCAGGGGCCATTGAGCCCAACTCTCCTTCAGCACCACTGGACTACAGGTCCCATATTTATCTGTGCAACCGGGGAGGGAGGAGGGTTCCCCCTTCCCTGCTTTAGATGGGCCTCGGTGTCCTGGGGCACTCAGAGTTTGGAGGTAGGGAAAAAGATAGACCGCATTTTCCCCTCCCCCCCCCCGAGAAAAACCACACCAGGCCCCCCAAAAGTGAAATTGCAAAACAAAGATTTGAAGAAGACACGAGAACCAGAAAAACAATAGAAGACCGAAAGAAAGAGAGAGAGAGAGAGAAAACACAAAGAGAGAAAGGAGCCACATGCGTGCACATACACAAAGGAAAAGATGAACAGAAGGAAGAAATCACATGTAAAAATACGTAAAAAGAATCAATAGAGAAAGGGAGGCAGGGAAGGAAGGAAGGAAGGAAGGAAGGAAGGAGGAAGGGAGGAAGGAAGGAAGGAAGAAGAAAGGAAGGAAGGAAGGAAAGAAGGAAAAGAAAGAAGAAAGAAAGAAAGAAAGAAAGAAAGAAAGAAAGAAAGAAAGAAAGAAAGAAAGAAAGGAAGGAAGGAAGGAAGGAAGGAAGGAAGGAAGGAAGGAAGGAAGGAAGGAAGGGAGGGGAAGGAAAGAAATTGGGAAGGAAGGAAGAAAAAAGGAAAGGAAAGAAAGGAAGAAGAAAGAAAGAAGACAGGAAAGAAAGAAAGAGGGAGGGGGGAAATTGGGAGGGAGGGAGGAAGAAAAAGGGGAAGAAAGAAAAAGAAAAGAAGAAGGAAAGAAGGTAGAAAGAGGAAGGGAGGAAACAAAAAAACGCAAAGAGAGAAAGGAAACATATGCAAAGAAAACTTTGAGAAAAACAACAAAACGAAAAGGAAACACAAAGTGTAAAAGAGAAACCACATCCAAAAAACACACACACAGAAACCCCTGAAACACAACACGAAGACACGAAGAAGAGAAACGAAACGGACGAAGCAACCCAGGATGGAAACCCAACATTAAACTAAGCCTCACCTTGTTTGTCCCCCGTCAAGACCCAGATCTTAATGTTGGCCAAGCTGAGAAGCGCCAGCGTCTCCGGAACTCCCTGCTGCAGTTTATCCTCGATGGCCGTGGCTCCCAGCAGCTGCAGGAGAGAGGGTTTACCCTCGACTTACGACGCTTCATTTAGTGACCGTTTGAAGTTGCATCGGTGACTTAGGAGCGGTTTTTTCATACTTTACGACCGTCGCGGCCTTCCCCAGGGTCATGGGATCCAAATTCAGGCGCTCGGGCCATGGACTCGTACTTACAACGGTCGGGGCAATCATTTTTGCGACCTTCCTCCCAGCCAAGTCAGCGGGAGAGCCAAATTCACTTAACAACTGAGGCCTGATTCACTTAATAACCGAGGTCTGATTCACTTAATGACTGAGGCTTGATTCACTTAATGACAAGGCCTGATTCACTTAACAACTGAGGCCCGATTCACTTAATGACCAAGGCCTGATTCATTTAACGACCAAGGCGCAATTCACTTAACCAACCAAGGCCAGATTCAGTTAACAACCGTGTTCCTAAGTTAACAACGGCAGGGATTCCCTCAGCAACAAGCAAGGCCATCAAAACGGGGGAGAAGCTCGCCTCACGACGGTCTCGCTTAGCAACAGAAATCTGGGTTCCTCAGTTGTGGCCGTAAATCAAGGAACGGCTGCACCAGATTGGGGGAAATCTCTTTTGTCGAAAGAAATTCGACGAAAGGACATTCAAAAGAGCAATGGGGGGGGAGGACCAGGAGGGAGGGAGGGGACACCCGAAATAAGAAAAAGGGGGGAGGGTCTCGGCACCCACCACCAGGTCGTTTTCCACCTCCTCGTAAAGCCGAGCAATCCGCTCTTCGCGACCCTCGCCGTTAAGCGAGGCTTCCTCCAGCCGCTCCGCCCAGCCGGCGAAATATTTCTCGTCCAGATCCCGATAGGCCAGCACCAGCGTCCGCAGACCCTCGCCCGCGTATTCCTAAGACCAGGAGGAAATGGAGGGTGGGAAGAGAAGGGCTCCCCCCCGCCCCAAAACAAGCCCCGCCCTCGGCCCCTTTCGAGCATGATTGGCACCCGCACAAATAGAGACGCACACACACACACACACATACACCCCGGGGGTTGTGGGCCACCTACGTTGAGATGGTCGGTGGTGACGTTGTAGAGATCTTGGTTGCTGGGAAAAAGCCGCTCCAAGAGGATGACGTCGGCCCCTTTGGAGTAAAGGCGGATCTGGCCCTGGGGATTCCTCACTGGAGGAGGAAGGAAGGAAGGAAGGAAGGAAGGAAGGAAGGAAGGAAGGAAGG